CCTTTGGAAAACTGAAAGACTTCAAACTCACAAACATTAGGTAGTTTGTACATTCGCTTCCCTAAGATAAAAATGTAATTTCTTGTTAACAGATAAGTTTATCGATCACAATTTATCTCTGTAAATGAATCCAAACTAATATTCTACACTTTCTTTTGTACCGCTGTTACAAGCATTCTATGAAAGGGATGCGAATATTGTACATACAGTCGTGCATATAAATTACTTTTTTATTGATCACAAATGAAACAATAAATACTGGGAATACTACTAATATGATATACAAGAAGCTCTAATCATAATCAAAGAGCTTTGTAATAGGTGAGCTATTAAAACACCCCATTCCAAGTCAAACGTGGACAAACATATTGTTCCTACATTACCGCACCCCGCCATCACATTTTTTCCCCATTTGCTTTCGTACTACTCTCAAAGCCGGAGTGAAGGTAGTCGGTTAGGTGCGCAAAAGGTCCTTGATTTGTTCAGACTGCATAATAATTTTATAGTAAAGAGAACCGGTGAAAAGGTGAATAATGCATGTTTTTAAACGGATGACGGTAAATAATTTTATCATCACGTACATGATAAATTATATATAGACGTAATAGTTCACTGTTCAGTGGAATCAACATTGTTTTCAAATTTTTGTAAATAGTATTGGGCGTCAACAGTTCTGGTTTGGTAGTCTTAATACATGATACCCTAGCATGTTTCGCAATTCATTGTTGCTCATTACATGACTCATTCATTGCGAGACATTTTGACAATTCGACTCTGCCACCGCCCTTTGTTTGTATTTCATTCAAATCTGTTTGAGATCAATTTTAACAATATTCAAAGACACATCAACACACCTTGAAACTTTCATCAGAGAGACGAGACAGAATATACTACATTTACACTCGAATATACGACCACATTAATACAGATCGAGATTGATAAACAAATGAAAAGGCAGATTTATAAATATATATTTAAATACTTTTGTACTATATCATGTAATTAAGATACTTGCAATTTTAAGAAGGTGATCTGGGCTGTCCGGGTGACGCCGCGTCGAAGGCTGAGTTGCCGACGTTTCGACCATCCTGTCGTGGTCTTCCTCAGGGCTGGTATGAAGACCACGACAGGATGGTCGAAACGTCGGCAACTCAGCCTTCGACGCGGCGTCACCCGGACAGCCCAGATCAGCCACATGACTCTGGCCGCGGAAGCCTACGACTTCATGCAATTTTAAGAAGTTCTTAAATTTTGTGATTTGAAAATAAATGTCTTACAAAAATATTTATTGAATAATACCTGATGAGCGATTATAGAATGTCAATTTTGCGTAAAAACAAAATACACGAGAAGGAAAGTACGCTCGAAACCCAAAATTGGCTTGAGAAACTGTGAAAGAAAGCCGGAAGGGCGAGGGTGGTGGTGTCCAAGGCGAGGGTTCGCGCGTGCCGTCTCGCCTCCCTGACAGCAGCCGCGTGTTGGCGTGGTGCGAAGCGCGGCGTGGCGGTGCGGTGCGGGGCGGGGCGCGGGCGCGGCCGGAGGGGGGCGGAGGGGCGTGGTTTTGGCGGTGCGTGGCGGGCGCGCGGGAGGCTCAGCTGAGCGACATGGCCGCGGCCCCCTTCGCCGTGGGCAGCGCCTGCACGAACTCCCGGGCCCCCGCCGCCGCCGCCGCCGCGTCCTCCTCGTGCTTCACCCACTTGGTGGAGGCGGCGCTGATGGGCGTCTCCTCGGGCATGAAGTGGTGGTGTTGGTAGGGTTGGTGCGGCTGGTGCGTCGCGGGGTCGCCGTACTTGGCGTGCGTGCCGTCGCCCATCTCCGTGGCGCGTTTGCGCACCAGCGACTCGCTCGCGAACTTCAAGTCCGTCACCCAGCCGCGCCTCGCCATGAAGTCGATCACCTGCGCGCGCACGGGTGTAAACGTACAGAAGCAGTTGTGCTCGAGAAGCGCCTCGAGACTAGCTGCGCTTTCAGTTTGTGAGCACATAATCGCATTTTGCGGCAACGAATAATAAGCTAATGGTGCTATAATAACACATACTTTAAAAAATAACTTTCCATAATTGGTATTGACTACTTAATATTCTAGTACACCTTCTAAGAACTTATGATTCTTAGGCTATTGAAAACGTGTTGTGTTTTTACTTTCTCATATACGGAGTATTATATATAGTGTAGGGAAAGTTATGTAACGCTGCGGAAATTCGATTTCGAGATTATTCCGAAAATACACGTTTTGGGGTCCTCTGGTACCGAAAAAGTAGTTTTTTTTCAAAACGTCCGTCTGTCTTTGTAATATAGAAAAAAATTTCTAACACGTGGTGAAGGTCAGAATCCATTTTTGTGCGTCCTTCATACCGAAAAATCTATTGACAGCAAAACGTATGTCTGTGCACAAAGCTAGCTCATAAACCGTTCAACCGATTTTCTCCAAATTTTCCAATCTCAAAATTTTGAAAAAATGACTCCAAATTGTTTCATTAAATTTTGTTATTGAATAGTGCGAAGTATCTTTAAGAGAGTGGTGCAAATCTAATTTTCGTTAATATTCCCGTTTTATCAAAATTGCAAAAACAGAATATTAAATCTTCAAAATCGAAGATAGAAATTTTTGCTTCAAACAATGTTGTACAATATTAGCCCTTTGAAAAAGGACATGTACAATTTTTTGTATATGTTAGTAATTTTTGTGTAATTTCTGTTTAAAATGAAGCATTATGAGCGTACCGTTGGACACAAGGATAACATTGTAAAATTGCGAGGACGTGTGTATGTGCTGATGTAGCACCACTAGTTCGTTTAGTGATTTTTCGTTTGCCGCCCAAAATCCTTACCTTCGTGGAGAGATCGTGCTTGGATCCCAACTCTGCCGCGCGGTAGTCCCAGGGGAAGCAGTGGTGGTAATTGTGCCAGCCCTCCCCCAGGGAGAGGAATGCCACCATCTTGCATTCCACTGCTTCTATATTTCTGAAACACCGTTTACGGAATTACATTACCGGACGTGTTACGGCAAAACTCTATTCAACGAAGACGTATATCAGATAGTAATCATTTCCTGATGTGACGGATGCGACACTGGTCACCGTTTAAGTTCTTATAGATAAGAGGAAGATGGAAAAAAATCAGAAACGCTTTATTAGTATGCAGCTTTATTGAAATTTGTGCGTTTTTAAACAGAAATTGAAACTCAGCGAGATTTTGTAGGGCATTTTGAAAACCGTTATTTATACGTATTGATTATTTCTACATTGACTACATTTAATATACGGTTGATTAAAATGAGAGCATATGTAGTAATTTCGTACAAAAAATAAGATATATTAACAATTTCCCTCAGTAGTTCTCTTGAAGCCTCCAATAATTGGCACCTTTCCTTGCTAAACTTTATGTCATGTGTATAATAAGTAATAACTATATATGTGAGTAATTGGGGTGTATTACATATTCTGTTAAGTAATAACTGTTCTTGTATAATCGTATAGATTATCATATATCATAACTTACTTTTGAATATACTTTTGAAATGGCATTTTAATACATTACTATTATTTATCAGACTCTCATTATTTTATAGACAAAAATTGTATTTTTCAGTAGTAATTTTGTTATCCCCCAAAAATGTTTTTGACTATAAAATCATGACCAGAATATATTTTGACAAAGTTGTTAAATCTACAGATAGAAAAGAAAATAATAATCCATTACTACCCTTATACGATAGAGGAGACCAGTCTGGTGGGAAGTAGGATTCCTAGACCGACCACATGGCTTACCCTAAGCCCAGCTTTGTGACATGTGTCCTTTACAGTCTAAAAGGCTTCCCACAGATGTCTGTATTTATATGAATAGTGCAACAATGACGCAACCCTATTCTCAGATGTGTCTTAGAGCATGGATAGTAATATTTTTGTAGTTCATTGATTTCATTCTGTAATATTGGGAGAGAAAGATTTTGTTTTTCTGCACTACTGGTGTCGTTGCCGTACTACCTACCGTTTTGATAACAACAAATTTTGTGTCATTTCTGTCTTTCTTTCAAAAGCAGAATCATGACATTTTAAAACGTACCAACTTGTTCGTGGTATTTAGTTAGGTGCAGTGCTATGGTTCCGTGTTTCGGTCCCATGGACGGTAGCGCTTCACTGTTTGGCTCCCCCGTCGTTGGCCACTATATGGCACTAGTGGGCGGATATACGAGGCCGACCGACATTCACCTGCAAGAGCGTCCCATTATGTCGGGACGATGGCGCTGTAGGAACGCTCTGAGAGGGTATCTTTCCTGTTGTTTCTTTTGCGGTATAAACGACTTGTACTTAGTAATCTTGAAAGGGGTCTAGGTTTTTGTTATCAACCGGTGATGTTTAGTTTTCTGGAGTTATCATATGGGTCTTTTTAAAGATTTATCTCCCCTTTTTTTAATTATACCCGCATCTTTGCCTCGCTCGTCTATTGCGACAGTTTGTTCTCTTTGGCGTGAAACGTTGAAAAATGAGGTTACCTTCTCAATGTTCCGAAAACAGCAATAAGCTTTTTTTATTAAACAGAGTCAAATATATTAAATCAAATTGAAGACTGGTTTTTAAATACTTAATTTTGAAACTACCAAATTTGTGCCGTTGTAAATGTAAAACGGTTCTGTAAGGCCATGTGTTGAACTTGTTTGAATTTATTTATATATAAATGAAAACCTGAAAAGTGATTCATTTGGACTTTTATTTATTATTCTATTCTGTCACGAAGTAGTGTGCCCACCGACTTCATTCTAATGCCCACCCCATACGTGGTTTGACATTCCAAAGTTAAAAATAAATACTATAAGAAACACTAAAATTGTAATTTTCATTGATGTAATCAAACCTGTCAAAGCTTCCCCGGAGGGGCACAAGAAAGTTCAAAACTACCGACTGGTGCCAACCAACCCTGGAATTAAATAAATTAACATCTTGGCTTCGAGAATTAAAAATGGCCTGTGAAATCACGTCATTCAGTATGCCATTAATGACTCACTTATTGAAGGGGCGTGTGCCAAACATGTGCGCGGCGCTGTTCACCAGCCACGTGATGTTGAGGACTGCGATCATTCGGAAGAAGTAGCAGCCGAAGAGCGCGACGTCCAGGCGCTCGTCCCACGCGAGGATGGGGATCACCGTGGGCAGCATGATGGCGAAGAGGACGTACAGCGTTTTGTAGTACCTGCGGCAGAGCACAAAGAGCACGTTTTACTTGAGCGCACAAGTACAACGCTTCTAAGATGGAGTCGGTGAAAGTAATGGCCATGATCGATGGACTGAAAGGAGTGCACTGATTTTATTGAGTTACATGCAATTACAATCTGTGAGGGCAAAAATTAATTCATTATGCATGCTGAAAATCGTAATTTTCTTTTTGTATGTTATTAATATCTGCATTTTTTGCTGGAAAGAATGAATGGAAAAAACAACTGTTGTGAAAGTAGTACCTTGAAAGAACAAGGGCGGGAATGAAATAAGCTATGACAAAACAATACATTTTTACTAATAAATTTGCTCAATTAACTGTTTATTAATTGAGCAATAAGTTTGTGAAGGGAGTTATAAATGAATGAGTTTTACAACTAGAAGGGTATTATTACACTTAGTAATATTCCGAATGATTTTTGCAGTATGTTTTATGGTCAGCATGTGAAAAGTTGTGAAATTAAAAGTGAAAATTAAACCTAAGAGTTTGAGTCTCCGTTTATATTGCTTTGAGAGAAAATGAATTGTTTTTCTACACCACTTTCTTGAACAAAAGAGTTTAAAAAATGCGTCCGTAGGAATTGAGAGCAAATTGTTTTTATTTAGATGCGAGGTCTATAAAAGTGCAATTATGATTTTCGAATAGTTCATAACACAATTGAAACGCACAATGTTTACTTTCAACGATGTTTTAGGTTTTCACATGAAAAAATTATCCTCAAAAGATGTAAAGCGAAGCACAAGCGCACTCCATTCTCTTGCATCACTAACCGACGGCAAATAAAGCCCAGCATTTTGCAAGGTTTTTATGTCTCACTCACTGCATACGTATATATCTCTCTTCCATGACCCAAATATGTTTTTCTTGACGATGCAGTGCTTAACAAATTACCACACGACTTTCAATCTATTATGAATTCATTGCAAGAGCATTACTCTCCATTGGAAAGTTGGATCAAGAAGGTGAATAACAATATAAATGAGTAATCTCAACAGATATGCGTACTAAAAGCCAATCTTTCTACTACACCTAATCCTAAACTACTTCTAAATCCCTTAGACCCTGAAGTGAGTTCCAATAAAATATTCAAGGGACTACATTTTGACACACCGTTACAAATACACTCGTATCATAGACAATAAATCAGCACACTCAACAGCTAGATATTCACACTGATATAACCAATCTATCCACAACCCTTGACTCTAAACTACTCCTCAATCCCTTAGACTCCTAAGTTTCAATAAAATAAACATGGGACTACATTTTGATTCTCATATTGCTTGAGTTTGGCTCAGAGCAAACATTCCCTTTGCCTCTGCATTGACTTTGACCCGGAGGGCCTTGAGAGGTCCTTCGAGTCCAGACGGTGGCGGATCTTCGGCGCAACCTAGGTAACTAGATGGAATTCAATTACTGTCTAGGAATTGTCTAAGAATTCTACCTGGAGAATGCAGGAGAATTGCCGAATACTAACAAACGCGCCACAGACCGCGCGCAATGTTTCCTTCCCGTTCCTTGGCTGGCGTATCCTCTCCCATTACTTACACACACACACACACACACACACCTGTCGGGAGACCAGTCGGGAGCATAGAGTTTGCCCCGGCGGGGGCGGTGTCCCGTAGGGGAGAAACCTAGAGATGGAGATAATCGGCGCGCTGGTGTGTAGGTCGGTGCCGAACCTCACCATCCATCGCGGGAGGAACACCGCCACTTTCAGATGTCGAAACTTTCACTACACCAACGAGACTAATAAAGATAGCTGTGGACGTGCAAGGAAACTTCAGCCAAGCAAGCAATCAAATGAGAAGCTTAGTGTTTAAGTCAACAATATAAAAAACACCATTTTCTCTCAGTAATAACTCACCTTTCATATCTTCCTACCTCATACACTGTTCTTATTTGCCAAAGAATCATATGACCTCTTCTTTCTATTGTTATTCACTCTGGAACAATATCTTCCTTCGAAACACGCGCTTGAAATATTCCAAAATAAAACCTTCCAATAGCACCTACGATTCCGAGGTCCTTGGTTTACAAGATACAATTCTCCTTTTTTCGACCTATATTTCCCTTACATGCACTTCTACTCTACTGAATTTTGTTATCATACAAAGTCTCCATTAATATACATTTTCAAGTATGTTTCGTACTTCCTCCAATTCTTAGGCTTAAACCTGTTACCCTATCTACTCATTTCTCACTCATCATTTAAATATTCGATAAACTCTTAATTTATATTGTGGTGATTGATTTAATTCCCTTAATCCATTAAAACTTTATTTTATGCTTCTAACCGCGCGTCGTTTTAAGTTTCTAATTTTCAAAGGGATATAATCTGCAAACATCCAAAGTGAAGTAAACACATTGACAGCAAATTTTAAAAGGTTTCGATGGCTGTAGATGTCAATGCTCATTTTCAATACTCTCAGAAAATAATACGAATGTTGTGAGCGATTTTCATGAAGAAACGCAAAAGCAAACTCCAAAAATTGAACTATTAAACAACGTGTTGTGGATATGTCATGACGAAAGTGAGAGAGAGAGAGGGACAGAGAGGGAGAGAGAGGGGGGGAAAGGAAAGGGGGAGAGAGAAGGAGAGAGAGGGAGAGAGAGAGAGAGAGAGAGAGAGAGAGAGAGAGAGAGAGAGAGAGAGAGAGAAGATCGCTAACGAATAATTCTGTATATACCGACGTCTTTACCTGCTTCAGTCCGAGCAACTTTCCTGTGAGTACTTGATGGGCACGACTATCCGCAAAAACCTATTTCGACTTTTCGGTTTCTGCTTTCCTTTGCTTAAAAGTAGTCTCACCTCTTCTGAAACATGACGATGGGGTCCCGCTCCAGGTCGGACAGGTCGATGTTCTTGCCCTTCTCGAACACGGCAGGGTGCTTGCGCATCATCAGCCAGCCGATGTGCGAGAAGAAGAAGCCGCGCTGCACGTTGTGCGGGTCAGCGTGCGTGTCGCTGTAGCGGTGGTGCTGCCGGTGATCGCGAACCCACACATACATGCAGTTCTGCAAAAAAAATAATAAAAATAAGCGTAAGCACTTTACTTCCTACACACCATGATGTTATCGGCTGTTCAGTCATGTTCAGTTTTTTAAATTTTTTTCTTTTTAATTTTTTATATTTTTAATTTTTTTCTTTTTAGTTTTTTATATTTTTAATTTTTTCTTTTTAATTTTTTATATTTTTAATTTTTTTCTTTTATATTTTTTAATTTTTTTACACTCATTGACTGGGGAAAGGGGGTCGATGAGCACCGGTAAGGAGCACCTAAAATGATTTATATCATTTCACATCCGTTGACTAATTTTCCTGAAGCTGATTCATTCCCCACATTTTTGTCATTTCGCCAACTAAAAAATATTCTTATAAAATTAGTATATATTTATCTACCTAAAATGCAAAGAAAATATACTTTAAAAATTTATTTTTAAGAAAAAATTATTACAGTCAAAATTCTGCGATTCACCTACTGTGAGTTTCAAGAAAAAGTAAGTAAAGATCGCGGCGATATTTGTAGTCTGGCGATAACATCCTTTTGATGACTTCATTTGAACGCATACGAATTCTAATTTCCCTTTTAACATTATTTGAATCAATTCTTTAAATATTATTTTGTCTATGGTATCGGAACAATGTAAATCACTTGTGAGAACGATCTCTAACTGCTAAATGCTTGCTTGGAACTGACGCTTTGATGCATTAACAGCAGGCGGCTGGTAGAAGAACACACTTTGAAGAAAGCGGCGTGTGTTTCGCCGATGATCATCTGGTGCAAATCTCTCAAAACAACTGTCTACTGCCGTGAACAGGCCATAAAGAGGTAATGTCAAATCGTATTGATTTGTTTTTAGCCATTACATGACCCGTAAAAGGCAATTGGCCTCGGCGCCGTTAGATCCCTGGGTTTCTACTCGGCCACCCTTCTAGGAACCCGCGATGTCTCGAATTCGCTTAACCTTCGTGACTTCACATAATTAACGATTTTCGCGGTCATAACCCTTTCAATAGAACCATCCCAGCATTTGGTTGGATGACCGAGGCAAACCACGAAAACCCCGGTCATGATGGCCGGCACGTGGGATTGAAGCCGGGCCTCCCGAATGCGAAGTCAGCGCACTACGCTGTGCCCCTCGCTTGGTGATAATACGTTAACGAGCTCCTCTAAACAAGGCATCTCAGCACTCGTGATGGCAGAGCGCGACTCACCTGTCCTGCGATGGTGTGCAGTACCACCAGCGCGAAACGCACGCCCCAGCTGGCGCGGAAGCAGCGGTGTGTGAAGAGGCGGTGCGCTCCCACCGTCACGCCGAAGCCGCACAGCACGCCGCTCAGCCACACTGCAACACACGACCAATCATCCAGCACTTCTCGCGGGCTGTTACTATCACGTTACCCCCATTTCCCCCTGCTAGCAGTGTGGGTAGGAGATCATCAAATAAGGCGAGTCATTTCTGGTGTAAAAACAGTCACATCACCGTTTCTGCTCAAAGAAAAGAACCACTAGTTTGCTAAAAAAAGTTTCTTTACTGCATAGTAGTTTGTCCACGGACTTCAATTCCTCAAGACACCCAGAAGCTTTCGTTTACGGTGAGTCGACCAAAGATAGTAAGCATGTTGTTAAGTATGTAGCTGTAGAGAAGAAATGTACTTATCTCCCAAACAGTCAACGAAACATATGTGCTATTTTTGTTTAGCTCAGTGAATATTCTAAACTGATATTATTTCATGTATAATTATTCGTTATTTTTAGGAAAAAGATCAGCCTTCGAGAGAATATGCAGAGAAAATAAGTTACCAGATTTGACAAGAGATTAATAGGCAGCCATTTGTAGAAGGCGAACGTTTAATGGAATGTTTAGATGGAACAGCAGAAGAGGTGTGTTCTAGACTGGTACCGGAACGACAGTCAGGACCACTTTCCCAGATTTATTTCTCAGGAGCCTAATTCAAGCTCTCGCAGAAGATTTCTAAGAACTAAGAACAGTTTTAAAAATAGCACCGCATTGTATTTGTCTTTGGATGACTCGTTGGGCTTCTCAGTCACAGCACAACTTGTAATTCTTATTAGATCAATGTATGAAATGCTGAATATTCTCAAACACATGTTAGACCTCATTCTATTGAATGACACACGGAGAAAAGAAGTGTTTAAAGCTCTTGGAAATATTAAGGAGAAATTTGACTGTCATGGAAATTATTGTCTTCACTGGCAATAGACGGTGCTCCCGCCATGACTGGCAAAGTTACTGGGTTAGTAGGACGCGTCAACGAAAAAAAGAATGAATTCGACTTCGTTGTGCCTTTATATTCCTATAATAATGAGCAAACTTTATGTTTAAAAATCCCAAAGTTAAATAACATACTGAATCTAGTTGTAAAATTGGTGACACCATTCCGTCAAAAGGATTACCTCATCGGTAATTTAAGTAATTTTTAGAAAATGTCGGCTGCAAACATGTCGAACATAGTGAGGATCACTGGCTCAGGCGTGCGAAAGTGCTACAGCATTTCTTGGAACTCCATCAAGAAATATAATTTTTTAGGATTAATTGATGATTCCATACGCGTAAACTGCTCAGATAACTTTCTCCGTAAGTGTAGTGCATGTTTTATTGCGTAGTCGCGTCATGACAAGCTCTGGACACCCGACACGTATGGTAGAGCAGAGTAAGTGGTGAGTATGAGACAAGGAAGAGGATAGAAAGATCGCGTGCGGTCAGTGGCCCGCTTTTGTCTAGGTTACTGCTCCGGCATTCGCTTGGTGCAGATCAGAGAAACAACGGTAAACTACCGATCAGAGCAGCCCACAGCAGCTGAATTCGAAAACTGCCACAGGGGGAACTCAATCCCTAGAACCTCCCCACTCAATCCCTAGCACTTCTGTGGCAACAATTGGTGACCTGAAAGGAGACAAATGTTCCAGAACTAACTGATCACTGACATATTTGTGTTAGCATTTTTAACTGATGTTACAGCACATCTTCGGGACTTGTACGTATCGCTCCAGGAAAAAGATATGTGAATTGTTCCCTTGTTTGACAAAATAGTTACAGTCCAAAAGGAACCTCTCGTTCTAGGAAGACGACTTCAAACTAAAGACTTCTTCACTTCCCGAGCCTCTCGGCATTATGCGGCGTTAGGCGATTACGCGGCTAAAGATTTTGGAGAGTATGTACGAGTAGAAATTTTTAACTACGCTGCGTTCTTAAATTGAAACTAGATGTGTAGAAATGTCGAGTCCAGTGGCAGATTGTCAAATTTTCCCGTGAATGCGAATTGTATTAAATCAGAACTTGAAATAGAAATTATTTTATTACAGGGTTACACAAAATTAAAAATAAAATATTTAGTCAATTTGAGTTTATGTGATTTTGTTTATGTAATCACACAATTGTGAACAGTTAGTATCTCGCAAGAAGTTGTGTACGACACGATGAGAAGTTCCATCTCATCTTGATAAAAATATTATATGTGTTTTGAGAATGAAATGAGTTGAGATGTTTCGAGAATGAGATCAATTATATGGAATTAAGGCGATTGTCGAAGAAAAGTAAAATAATAAAATAATTAAATTAAATTACATTCATTATTTTCATTCTATACTTTACTTTTTTATCTTCTCGTTTCATATAATTTTTATTAGTTTTTTATTACCTTTCTCAATAACACAGTAGCTACTTTAATTTATTCACTGTATTTACTTCTGTATTCGTAATTGCATATTATTATTCTAGTTAATTTTAAATTCACTAAAATTGGAAATCAAATATGAATAACTTTGATCACGTTTTAGGATGTTTCCTTTATCTTTAATTTGTATTCAATATACACGTGATTATATACACAGAAAATTCATAGATTTTACTCGAGTATGTTTCAACCCACCGCAAGTTTCCTCTCACTGAACTTTGAAGTTGACTCCGATACAGCTAAGACTCGGCCCACTGTGTGTCGATGAGACTTGCGATAAGCGCCCTTATTCGCATGTGACGGCAGCTCGGGAGCCGAGTCCTCTAGAGAGCGAATCCTTAGGAGGAAAAATGATCTAAAGGTAACGGTAATGTCACATGTAATATTAAAGAATAACAGAAACGGGTCGCCTGACGCGACCCCGGTTTCGATTCCAGGTCAAGCAAGTTTATAGTGTGCGTTTTCTTTGCAGTGTCCCAGTATATGGTGCTGTGTGACGATGAGAAAATTCACTTTGCACTATCACATTCTAATAGATTGATGTGAATAACATTAATCACACGTGTTTATAAATGACTAGTTTAAGTAATTATCTACACTCGTCTTCCCATTTGCGCTTATTTGTGAAGTTATAGTGTAAAATGAAAAATAAATTCCACATTCGGGTACTTTACGCTACAAAAGAAAAACAAAAACGTAAGGTCAGAGGAAAAGAAGGACGAGTGCGAATCAAAGAAGCAGAAGAAGAAGCACCCTCCGCATAGTGAGGAAACCACCTGAAGGCAGACCTACCGTAGATCCAGGAGAGCACCTTTCCCCGAGCGCACAAGACGTAGAGGCCGTAGACGGCGATGAGGTGCAGGGCGAGGAAGCCGAGCGCGTTCTTCCAGACGACGGGCGTGAGGAAGTAGCCCATGTAGAGGCGCTCCTTCTTGGCCGCGGGCTCGGCGGGGGCCAGCGCCGGCAGCTCGGCGGGGGCGAGCTTGGGCGACGCGCCCGCCCCGGGCACCGTCCTCGTCACCGTCTGCGTCACCATGGCCACCTGCAAGCAGAGTAACCACTTCTTAGATACCGACATTTCAAATTACATTACAAATCACAAAAATGTATATAGAATACAGCGTTGTCCCTTGATATTGACTGGCGTTTCCTGCATGCCTCTCTAGACTTTTAGCACCTTCTTTAAGATAAGTTAAGCGCAGCGATGGATCCCTTATGCCAGCACGGGAGTAGAGCCTTCGCTTCGCTGGGCGAGCGATCCCTCGACTCTCCGGGCTCGAATTTACGGCAAACGATAAAATGTACACCCGGCATTGTTACCGTTACTATATTTCCTATATCTGCAACTATATACTGGAGTGTTCATTTTCATTTTTCGGATGAAAAAGTTTTGTGAGAAATGCGAGCGTTCGAAATGTTTTCTTTAATATTTTGCTACCTCCAAGTACGACACCTCTCTTGTCTCAGTCGCTGGACTGGAAAGGATCTAACCGCGGAAGATCGAACTAACCAACGAACGCATTACCCAGTTACTATATGTAGGACGCCGACAAAACTCTTGATATCATTTTGTAAAGAACAAGAGAGTCTATATGGTTTTCAAAAGTCACAGTAAGTAATGTCACTGCAGAAAATGCACATCACTTACCTGCGACAATGTTTGGGCGTCTACAGCAACGCGCGAGAAAGACAAACGAAAGCCTCTTTTATACCTTCGTTAATTCTGATTCTCTCCACCCCTTTGCCCTCAGATCCAATTTCTCACGACCTCGGCGACCCGGAAACCGCCCTCGAGAGACAGCCTTCCATGTTCCGTGGAATACTTAATATTTCTCCTTTCTATCACGTAAAGCATGACAATTGAAACGGGGGTAAAATACTGACGTGCCTCTGTTGGTTGAAACATGACTTGCAAAGCCCACTTGGGTGAGCGAGAACAAATACACACGATTTCCTGAATCACGGAAACACTATAGTTGAAGAGTATATGAGTTAATCAAGAGCATCGGCTATTGAAAATTTTAGTGATTCAGTATAATGGGAATTGCTATGTATCACTGCATCAAGGAAAAAGTATATATTCATGTTCATCAGAGCCGTTTGTGCGGAAAAAGCCGTTTGTGTGGACTAAAGATCATAAAGGTTGATTACCCTTTCCGAACAACTAGTAGATTCAACATTCTAAAAATGGTGAAAAGGGTATTACTTGGTAATGTCTTCATGACTTCGACGCCCCGATGTCACAAGCGGGGTTCATTTCCGACATTTGGGCCCGAACAATATCTCCTAGTTACTCCCGTTTCCAAATATGGAAGCGCCCGTTCAAAACGTTTATATCCTCGATTTTGTTTAAAAGTTACAAAGATATATTTTTCTTAGAAAGCTTGGAAAACAATTCCTTCCTGAAGAGATTTGACTACAGTCTTCATCCAGATTTTTAACATGAGTTTATTTTCAATAACATGTCTGAACTTCTTAGTAATTTTGACACACTCTCTTTGATTTTAATTAATAACATTAATAAAAGTTAAATGATCATTGAAATTAATGAAAGAATAGCGATGATTTATTTTTAGACAAACTGGAAAGTACCGATTAAAACTGGTAATGAACGGAAAAAACGGTCTTCTGATACCTATTTATTTCAACAATAACCTGGACAAATTTTGTTCATTTCAATAAAACAACTCTAAAAGCTTCGAGGGATGAAAGAAAACAGACTGACCGGAAGCAACACCTATTTCCAACTTGAAATTACCTCCATGGATCTGTAGATAACAGGGTAGGATCTCTATCGAGATGGGAGGTATTTTGTAATTGGGAATGTAAGAGGAATCCGTTCAGTGCACGGATTTTAGGAACAAAATCATTTTCAGAGCTTACGGCCCTTGAGCTGCTGAGCCGAAGTGTTTTGAGTTCACAAGTAATTCATCGCAAGTTGCTAGTATAATTTTATTACCACCGATATTATTTTGGATTGTTTTACTGTTTTATTATATTAAATCAGTTTTCTTAATTGTGTCACGAGTTTTTAAACTCTAAGCAAAGAATTACATTTGTCATACTATGATTGAAAATTTTTGGGAATATTGTAAAATTTTTATTCACGATTCCACTATTCGATTGGCAGGATTATTTGAATCTGGGAGTGATTCACGAGTTACTATTATTTCTGTCTATACATTTTTCTGTTTGAGAGGAAAGCAGTTGAAGTATTATGTCAGCCTTTCGAGAAGTGATTCGAATTTCCCATTTCTATTTTCGTTAGTCCCATATTCATTCGTACTATTGTACATCACTATTCATCCGTTGCTTTTGTACGTATTCCACAGTTGTTCCATAAACATTAGTCGATATGTCATATTTCTTTATTAAAGAATTTCATCAGCTTTTCAAATGAATAGGTCCACTTTTACTGTTTAGAAGGGATTAGCAATTGTGTTTCGTCATCTCTGCTCCACTACATCTGTTCTTAGGATGCGATAACCCTAATACGTTAACTTCTTTATTATAATTTGTTTCATTTATGTACAATTTGATATGTCCTAAATATATTTCTAAGTTATGTTTCTTGCAAAATGTGTAGATTAACGCTCATATAACGCTCATGCATGTGGTATTTCAGTTGTTAAGAGCGAGTTATTTCGAAGTAATCTGGCAACCTCTCTTGACGAGTAGAACCAAAGAAATGTGTATTCTAAAGAGGAAAGGGTGAATTTCTGTAGATTATTAATGGAAGGATAAAGTTATGTTAATGGGCAATAATTGATCAAATATTTTTGTTTGATTATTATTGATAATATATATCACCGCATACTCAATGGCGCGCTGTGAGAATCATTGTATTATTGAGTATTTAAAATTTAAAAAAAAAATAGTCATTCCATGCATTTGGGTAATAAACTATATAAATATCTGAATAACAAAATGGAGGTAGGAAATAGAGTGAAGTAAACGAAACATTTTAAAGATACCAAAATAGGTTGCAACAAGACCATTTAAATTTTAAAATGTATTGGATTGTATATTTTGATATGACAACAGTTTAATGTTACAGAACTTCAAATTGTTAATATGTTCATAATGTGACAGTATTCTAAACAGAAAGTCACTATTGATGTAGCTGGGATCTAAAAAAATAAAATAACATTCTGTGTAACATTAAATAATTAGAATTCTGTGTAACAACTTTGTATTCTTGCACTTCATTGCACCAGTGAGTGCATCAGAAACAAGAGGCAATAGACGCGTTAGGAACCTGACGTCCATCATCATTTGATGATGCAATGAAGGGGTGAAAACAAGACGATATAAGTGACATTTTATATATCCGTTGACAAAACTTTTATTGTCTGATTCGATAATAAAAAAATCATTTTAGATTATTTAATTTTCGACAAGAACCTCGCTTTTATTTTATTTTTTCCTTATTTACTTAATTAAAGAATGTTTGATTTGTGGATTCCTAAAAATTATTATAGATATGAACTATTATAGAGCTTTTCTTTAAAAATAAAATACCAAACATAAAAATTAGGAGCATAAAATATCGATGTTGATAAAATATCGGCTTCCAATTGATAGATTACCGATTCCGAACACGTCAAATGCTAAGGTCATTAGTCCTGTAAGTGTAGTGCATTTTGTCTCGGGAGGTGGCGTGATCTTAACCTCCACTGGATATTGAGGTCCTTTCGGAGGTACAGCAGTAACAGTAGGTGCCCTGAGCCACCTCTCCCGGTGCGGCTTTGAACAATCGATGTTAAATACTACATGGATGATTTTATAAGAACGTCGAAAACATCGACTTTGATGTGGCAGCTCCATGGCGAGGGGAACGTGCAGAGACCAGCAAGTGGCTCATGGAACACGCGCGTGACGACAGGGGCCGGCGTGATGAAGGGGCGGAGGGGGAGGGACAGGGGCGGGAACTGTTTGACCTGTGACGCTTGGCATACTTCCGCCCCAACCCTGCCCTCAACCACACGTCACCGCCGTTCTTTTTCTAGAATGACGAATGGATGTGTATTCCCGAGTGTGTTTCTTTTTCACTCCTTGTGTAGAATGATGTGGTCTAGCAGGTTTCTTCCGAGAGAGTCGATGAATTTAAAATCGATTAAGGAAACCCAATGGATGCTGCTTGAAGCTACGACATTCGCAATTGCAACCATTGCCTGAAAGAGGTCGATTTTCAATCTCGGAACGGACACATTGAATGTGTGTATCGGCGGAAGCTTTCTTTTTTTTCCGTGTCTATCGTGTTAACTACATGACTAACCTAGTTAATCTGGAGTGACTGATTAATACTTGAATGGTAATTTATAGTATTTCGGTTTCACTCACACTATCGAAGTAGTAATTAACTGACAATCAGACTCACGCACAAAAAAGACTTGCATTCTCTAGAACGATATTTTAATTATGATACCTCTCTTAAAATACTGATCTGTACCTTGCAATGGAATAAATAAGCAAACAAACAGGAATAACATAGGACAACAATGCAAGAAAAGAAATTTACATTATAATCGAACGACATTAAGTAAACTGGATGCGGTCATGTTTGAAGGATAATTATTTAAAATACTATGAGGTCCACGAATTCTTATGTGGAGCGTTTCGTGGGCAATAATTTTGAAGAATAACATTGCATTTTGCATTTACAATCTACATTACTTTCAGTCTGTCGAAAACGCTAGGAGTACCTTGAAACTTGGTACGTCATAAGATAGTGTGTTGTTCTAAGATCATGTTAACATGAACGTGAAAGTTTGAGTCTCGCGAACTTTCACAGTTGCGTCTTCGTTCACGTATACATTTACGCTGCTGCTGCTTACGCATTACTGCTGTTGATGGCTCCACTCCACACCACGGCACCAAGCTCTTGAGTTTACGTTACGTTCACATTTAAGTTTCATTGAGAATGAGCCATTAATGAATGTTTTCTCGGGAAACTTTAGAATTGACACTTAAACATGCGAGAACTTCTCGTATACCATAATAACCAGCAGTACAATTTACTGTTGAGGTGGTTAG